TATATATATACCTATATACTATGTATATATATAATTTGGTCTGTCGTTTCAGTTATAAAGTATCAGTTATAAGACTATTAGTATACGATGAATGATTGATTTAGCGAGTGTAGTGGTGCTCAGAGACCTAGAGTCAGAAGATGGCGGTCCAAGGTTCCATCAGCAGTTCTATCTATGGATGTACAGTTTTGTACGGAGTACGTTGTCTAGTAATGGTCTATTTGTTATATACTGTTGTGTGCAGGCATTGCTCTTTAAAAATCAAGTTACACTTAAGCAATATGCTGTCTGTCGCCTGATATACACATTACACCATCTTGAACATAAACGTGAGATGCTTGTTATTGTGTCCGCGTATGTCTGTTAATTTGGTCCTAGTTAGTGCGAATAATATGATAAACATTGCCATACCCTTAACGAGATACTTTTAGTATACGTACATGCATGAAACTTCCGTACTCTGGTGCATATCAATTCACATCCTAGGTAGTGTCATAGCTATGTATTTCGTGGATATGCGCTTGATGTATACCTTCTCTGTTAGTATTGAATGTGATGACTGTTGACACGTGCTTGTAATCGTATACAGTTTCGGTTCGGCGGATAACATGGTAGACATCAGTAACGTACTGTTTGTTGCCAGGGACATCTTCGATAGTTGTACCACTGCGAAACAGGGGAGGAAGAAGGTCATCTTCTACACGTGCAACGACGATCCGCAATCAGGTATGCTGTTTTGAGTATGTATTGGTGGTAATTAGGGACGCTTCTCGAGATTTAGGAAACAATCAGGTATTGAATTGGGTTGAATTTGATATTAATCAGGTACATTCGATGGAGGTGTGTTAGTTGTTGTGAACCAGAGACTCGATTTGCGTAGTATATCTACGTATATATTCACGTGCTAGTCGAATCGACATGTATAGTTTCGGTATAAAATGCTATATTGGATGCCTCAGGCGACCAGTTACTCTATTTGTATATTGATGTGTTTTGTTGAGTCCTTATTTCCAGTTGCCAGTGATATACATATTCACCCTATGCCACATGTGCGGTATGCTTCAAACTAACGATTGAACCCCCGTTTTATGTTCCGGATGTGGTTGTTAAGATATGTATTCGTGCACTAGTTTTCCTTCACCTATGCGGTGAATACGACCTGATTCAGATACACTCTTTGTTTTTATTTATGTATGTATTCGGGTGCCTCTGGATCTGACTGCTGTGCATAAGTAAACCTAAGTTGTGTCGTTTGTGTAGCATGTCAGGTGCTGATTCAATGTTCAAGTGTATTCAGATGAGTCCATGCATAAACTTCTGCAAAGC